TGCACAGAGTCCTGACCTGAACCCGATAGAACACCTTTGGGATGAATTAGAGCGGAGACTGGGAGCCAGGCCTTCTCGACCGACATCGGTGTGTGACCTCAACAATGCGCTTTTGGAAGAATGGTCAGAAAATTCCTATAAACACTCTCCTCAACCTTGTGGACAGTCTTCCCAGAAGAGTTGAAGTAGCTGCAAAAGGTGGACCGACATCATATTGAACTCTGGGTTAAGAATGGGATGGCACTTCAGTTCATAGTATGAGTCAAGGCAGGTGAGCGAATACTTTTGGTAATATATAGTGTATGTATTTTCTTATCTGGACAAACCACTGTATGAGTTGCTGCCAACTACTTCCATTGGAAGCCTCCCTCACCCAAGTTTGCCCCCCACCATTTAAGAAGCACTGAATTAAAGCTACCCTGGCCCGTGAGACGACACTAATACACACAGTCAATACAGAAGGAGCGTTAGTCGAACCAGGAATCCCATGCGATGTAAGGCAAGAGACACTACCCGCGGTCTCTCTGGTCGTCACGTTTTTTTTTTTTTTTTTACTGCCTTCCACTGTGGTCCATCTTATTAAAATCTTAGCGATTGCACTGTTGCCCATTAGCAGCGAAGCCTCCTGTCTGTAAGTGTTCGTGCCCATCAGTTGTACAAAAGAAAATTGTCAGCGACTGAGACTCGATTCTAGTTCAGGCAGTTAAAACAACATACTTTTTTTTCTTGGTCTTTTTGGTTTGGTATGGTTTAAATATATTATCAGAAAAAAATTTTTAAATTGTGTGGCATGTTTAGAAAACATTTCCAACTATTTTGAATGAGAGAGAACAGGAATGCAGAAGGACAGATGGTTGGAGATTGGCGAGGATAATAAAAGAGGCCGTGGTCACTTCCTTTAAAAGGGGAAGAGTTCGGATGAGCTCAACGAGTGCCAAAAGTATTTGATATGACTTAAGGTCAGAGTAAAAAAAAGATGACAAGGCGAGTTGTTGCTGGAATGAGGCACGTTAGTATTCAAAGAAGGAAGGGGGCAGAGGAAACGGGACGAAACCAGACAAGGCAGTTTTACATGATGTCGGGCAAGTGGGGAAAAAAATGAAACGATTGTTCTAAGTTTGTCTGGAAAAAGATGGAAGCAGGTTAGTCGAAAAAAAAAAGGTGACGATCGGAGGGGATCAGTCTCAAAGACATGACGCTGAACGGGAGGTGACATGGACAGAATTTCAGAAATTTTTCCCGGCATAGAACGTTTTGAAAGCACTGGATTAGAGGGACAGTTAAGGTTTAACAGCTTGGAGACAGAGTTGGAGACGTGATGTAGAGATGGTTTGAAAGTTCCAGGACCGAGCTCGTAACTCGAGGTGCTCGTATCTCCAAATCATTTTTTTTTCCCGTAAGGAATAACAGAAAAAAAAATGAATCCATTCCGGCTGCTTATTTTAGCGCTAATAACAATGTAAAAAAAAAAAGTTTTTAATTGCTATAGAGACAAAAATGATAGTATATAAGGATTCCTGTGATCGAAAAATAAATCATGTAGATAACTCAAACACACTACGGAAATGGACGAACGCGTGAAGTGAAAGAGTGGGCTGCTCCGAGTGCTCGGCCACCTAGCGTCGGTGTCGGTAAGCGTGCC